GCTATGTTCGCACCTCATTATACAACAGTTCCAGGATAAAGTGATTCCAGATGTGCTCTCAGCAAGTACCTAGTACTTATGTGTTTAACCCATTAGGCTAAAATGTACTTTCTGAATTTTGGAGAAGGCAGAAGTTAGTTAACTAACTAGTAATTCCTAATAGCTTTATAAAGGTGATTCTAAATTGGCTGTAATTTGCAGTGTGCTTCATGTTATGTGATTATAATGATATGAAGCATATATTTACATATACATACTATATCACACATACATACTAGTATATCTTTGATCATAAGTTCACTTTTGGGTGCTGGTTCAGTAATCATTAAGTTCCTTTTCCTTAGAAGTTTCATTTAGAAAAGTTGAGAGAACATGTGTCTGAGAAATAATCTGGTTTCCTTCCTTTGGTCAGTGGTCTAATATGTGCTTGTGATTCTGAAAAGTAAATGTTATGGGGAAGTCCTGGTTAAAGATTTCCTTCCCTCTACACACATTTTAAAACACTATTTAAAAAGTTTTATGTCATAAGCTTTGTAACCTGAATTGACAAAGGAGTTGAAAAGAAAAGGTGCTGAATGCTTTCTCTGACAAGTCAGATTATTATTATATTTTTAAAATATATATATTTTTATTGATTTTAGAGAGGAAGGGAGAGGGAGAGAGAAACATCAATGATGAGAGAGAATCATTGATCAGCTACCGCCTGCACGCCCCACACTGGGGACTGATCTCGCAACCCTGTCATGTGCCCTGACACGTAATCGAACTGTGACCTCCTGGTTCATAGATTGACACTCAACCACAGAGTCATGCCAGCTGGCCCAGATTATTAAGAGTATGGGATTTTGTGTCACTTGGCTCTGGAAGGTAGGGAGCTGAGGTGAACATTTTGCTTTAAAATATTTCTGTTTTGTCTGAAGAAATTATGTTTTCTATTTTTTAAAAAAATATATTTTATTGATTTTTTTCAGAGAAGAAGGGAGAGGGATAGAGAGTTAGAAACATCGATGAGTAAGAAACATCGATCAGCTGCCTCTTGCACACTCCCCACTGGGGATGTGCCCACAACCAAGGTACATGCCCTTGCCTGGAATCGAACCTGGGACCCTTCAGTCCACAGGCCGACGCTCTATCCACCGAACCAAACCGGTCAGGGCATGTTTTCTATTAAATACAAAGGAAAACTTCTAAGCTGGTCTCTGCTTATTTGAGAACATTGCAACCTAATATGCTCCTCTGATACGATATTAAAAAGTCTTTTTAAAAATTTAGGTATGGCCTCAAGGACCACAACATTCAACCAGTGTGCTGTAATAATTTATTTTTTTAACCTATAGAGAATTTTTGTGAGTTATTTGAGCCAAACTGTCGACAATTGCCAGTAAAAAATCTCAGTAAGTTGAGATAATGCTCCCCAGAATTTTTAAAACATTCAATACTTGACTATTTAGTCAGGGGCACTGACCTCTTCTCCCTTAGATTGTCAAATTAAAAAAAAAAAGTCAACAGCCAATACAATAATAGCTGTCTGGTGTGAATGAATCAAAATTATACCTATTTTTTTTGTCAGATTGGCAAAAATATATATTTTGGCTTACCATAGAATTTTAGTGGTAATTGGTCTATGAGCCATGAGATGAAAAAGGTTGAAAATTGCTGAACTAGGGCATCATTCACTGAGTGGGAATATTAGAAAACATATTCTTCAGAGTTATCTCCTTTGTTGTAACTAGTGTGACAACTACAGCAAGGCAATCTAGATATGAGCATGGATTCCAGATCCAGACTGTCTAATTTGGTTCCTAGTTCTGCTTTTTACTAGCTGTGTGCTTCCATTTTCACAAATGTAAAGGATGAATAATAACTGGTGAGGACTTAATGAGTCTGTACTTGTAAGGAAAGTACTTAGAACTATGCCTAGCACATATAAGCACTATGCAAGTTTTAGCTTAAATAAAAAATCTCAGAATTTGTCTTTGCCATGTCAAGTGTTAACATATCACTAGTTAAAATTAAAAGAAAAGTGATCTTTAGGATTAAACCTCTCTTGTGAAACACCTAGGTGCCTCCATGCATCTGGAGCTAAAGTTGGAAGATAAGAAGGTGAGGAAAGTATAGATAGTAGAGTGTGAATGCCATTGCTTAAAGCCTCATACCGGGGCCTTGCTAGATAACGATTTGTTGACGTTATTTCCAATTGGGGATAAAGACCCTTGGTGTTACCCATCAGCCAGAGATGGAATTTAGTCTGTGTGTGAGTTGTTAAGCATTGTAGTATAATAATGTGAAGGGCTTATCCTGGAGGAAATGAAAAAGTTGTCATTTAGGGAGTCAGTACTGAGGCAGCCATGTAGGGCCGCCAGTCTATATGACAGTTAGCCTTGTGATATTGTAGCCCTTCAGACTCACCTGGCCTTTGATCTGGAGAAGGCTTTTCTTCCTCCTGGCTCACAGTCCCATCTCAGGGTGTAAAGCTTGACAAATAGAGTACAGACTGGTTTTCAGTCCCCACCACCTCCTCCACCCACGATTTGGAGCACTACACACACTGCACATTGAATATGGTAGCCCAGAAGACAGATTTTTGACTATTCTGTGCTTTTTTAGCTCAGGAGATACGTTGTTCATTCTTAGTTTATTTATATAGTTGAAACTGGGGAAGAGACAGTTCAGTGGTTTTAGTCATTGAATCCAATAGGCAGTTGCTAAATATTACTAAAATAATCCACCAGCATCTGGCTGATAGTCCAAGACTGTTTTCTATCAGAGGTATTAAGTCACTTAATTTAGGGTTACGGTCCTGGTGAACATTATAAGAGTTTAAAAATGAGGAGAAAGGCACTAGAATATTAGACCCTTGTAGTCATAAATCACATTTCTGCAATGCCATTGGTCCTTTTCTCTACATGCACTTATTAAGATGATGCATTTTATTTCCAATGGTTTGCAAGCTGTAACTTAAAGATCGAGTGCTCTTAGAAGGCCCTGGATAAAAAACTGTCAGTCATTTGACATAGAATCATGTCAGGAGTGGTCTCACAAGATTTGTGGATTTTGGCCTCTCTTGTTTTTCATTCAACATTTATTTTCATTATTATCCACAGTTAAATTCCTTATTGGACATGCATTAGATTAAAATCACATTAAAATTTGGACTTCAACCAAATATAGCAGAAAGTTTTAATTCTTTGACATTACCTCCCCAGATTCTTATATTACAACTAGAGGCCTGGTGCACGAAATTCATGCACTGGGGGTGGGGGGATGGGTATCTCTCAGCCTGGCCTGCGCCCTCTCACAGTCCAGGACCCCTAGGGGGATGTTCGCCTGCTGACTCAGGCTCGATCCCCTTGGGATCCCAGGCAGTCAGACATCCCTCTAGCAGTCTAGGGTTTTTGCAGTCTGGGACCCCTCACTCCTTACCGCCTGCCTGCGGTGGAGACAGAGAGGCTTCCGCCACCACCGCTGTGCTCACCAACTGTGAGCCTGGCTTCTGGCTGAGCGGCACTCCCGCTGTGGGAGTGCACTGACCACCAGGGGCAGCTCCTGCATTGAGCACCTACCCCCTGGTGGTTAGTGTGCGTCATATCAACCAGTCATTCCTCCGGTTGTTTTGCCATTCAGTCAATTTGCATATTAGGGTTTTATTATTTATGACTAGAGGCCTGGTGCACAGATTTGTGGGCCTTAGCCTGGCCTGTGAGGATCGGACTGAAACCAGACCCCCTGAGGGGTCCCAGATTACAAGAGGGAAGTTCTCGGGCGACACACCCCAGAATTGGGCTTCCTCCTCTCTGGTTTCGGGTGTGTCACCCGAGAACCACAGCTGCCAAGTCACTGCAGCTTGGCAGCTCCTGCGGTGAGTATCTGCCCCCTGGTGGTCATTGCACGTCATAGCTACCGGTTGGACAGTCAAATGGTTAGATGGTTGCTTAGGCTTTTATATATATAGATTAATGGTCCTGAACTTTGGAAGATGTGAACCAGGTATAACTCTACTATCCCCTACAAAGAGAGTGACATTTGTAAATGGACACTTCGAAGTTTTAATGTTTCAAATCTATTTCAAATCAAGTTCTCAGGGAAACTTGAAATAACATTCATTGTTCTATTCTTATCCGGTTGCATTTAGAAACCTTTCATTCCCATCTCCTGCCTTGAATCTTTTCCATTCTGAAATGAGTAGAAACTTTGCTTTTTACCTCACTCATAGTGAGCTAGAAACAGTTGTTTTGATTATCAAACTTTTATCTAATAATAAGCAATATACTCAAACATTACAGTTGTACAGGTACTTTTCAAATATCTTATCACATTTAACCTGAGCTTTTGAGATGGCTGTTATGATTTTCTCCATTTTTATAGACTAGAAAACTTAAGCTTCGCCATGGCTGGGTAGCTCAGTTGGTTAGAGTGTCATCCTGTTATACCAAGATTGCGGGTTCGATCCCTGGTCAGGACATATACAACAATCAACCAGTGAATGCATGAATAAGTGAAATAAAAAACCAGTGTTTTTTTCTCTCTCTCTAAAATCAATCAATAAATAAAAAATTAAAAAAAAAGAAAACAGAAGCTCTGCGATACAGATATAGTGGTATCCAGAAGATATAGGAAGAAATCCAGGCTTTTCACCTTTTATTGATTTAAAAAAGAGATATCCCCATATTTTTCATGGGATTAACTAGTACTACAATTTAATAACATTGTTTGCTTGCTTAAGTATGTGTAATGTAGCTCATGTGGTAGGAAATATCTGTATTGGTAGCTAGACTATGAATTTGTCTCAACGTGTTTAGGTAATTTTTAGTAATGATTTAAAATTCTTAGGCTTTTCAACCCAGGCTAGACAGAAGAACAATAAACAAATCTTGGCCAAAAAACAAAAATTATAGTAAGCATATCCGTAGCCTTTCAAAGTAATCAATCAGAGAACCTTGTTTTTGTTTTGTTTGGCTGATTGTGTGTCCCAGATAATCTGAAATTTTCTCTTTTTCTAGCTTTTCCTCAGGGTTTGTCGATATGCAAATGAATTTTGAAATGCTTTTAAGAGTATCCAGTGCCTAGCAAAGAAATGATTGGATTGTTCACCATATGAGCAAATGGCAATTTGTAAGTAAGTATCCCTAAATGCAAATAGTCACTTTATGTTTATTGTTTTAAACTAGAAGGATTTTCATAGTCTGAAGTGGTATAGGAAAAGGAGCGAGGACTTTTGAATCTAAAAAGACCTGTGTTTGAATCTTCACCTTAGTACTCAATGCTAGTTACTACACCTTACTTAGGTAATGATTTCTCTGATCTTCAGTCTCCTCACTTTCGATTTTGGGAATATATTACCTACCTTGCAAGATTACTGTAAAGATCATCTGAAACAATGTATACAAAATATCCAGCACTCTACTTGATGTATAAAATGTACTCAAGCCCTAGCCGGTTTGGTTCAGTGGATAGAGCATCAGCCTGCGAGTTGAAGGGTCCGGGTTCGATTCTGGTCAAGGGCACAAACCTGGGTTACAGGCTCAGCCCCCAGTAGGGGCATGCATGAGGCAGCTGATTCTATCTCATCATTGACGTTTCTATCTCCCTCTCCCTCTGTCTTCCTCTCTGAAATCAATTAAAAAAGATATATATATATATATGCATATATATACATGTGTGTGTATATATATATGTATATATGTGTGTATATATATGTGTGTGTGTGTGTGTGTGTGTGTGTATATATATATATATATATAATTTAAAATGTACTCAAAGTTCATGCCTGGCATTTTAAGAAAACAGACATAGCTAGCTACGGTGGCTCTAAATTATTGTAATTTAAAAAAGATATTTCTGAGTGCCCAGCATGTAGTAAACAGGTGAGAAGTCTATGAAGATACGTATACTATTATCCTAGCTCTGCAAGATTTCTACATTTGCTGTTGAAACAGTGACAAGCCTGAAGTTTCTGAAGATGTGCAAAGACTAATCTAAGTCCTGTCCCAGAAGTGCAGTTAATCTTGAGGACTTTGAGGGGCAAGCAGCTTCGAGGTGCTAGGGGAGCACTGTAGATATGGTGGGACATTTTTTCAATCTTACCTTGCACATCTTCCTGTCTACCAGAGGTAGGGCTTCCTACTGTGTCTTCAGGAGCCACAGAAGCTGCTACAGCTATTATTATTGATCAGGAGGGGAAATAATTATTAGCCACTGATTGTCAATGGTAGAACTACTCAGAGCAGAGTGAGATGGCCAAAGAAAGAAGGAAGAATATTTGTGTTACTAGCTTTTTGCTTTGTTCTGGTGTTGTGGGACTGCTTCTTTCTCGCCATGGTAGTCCCAAATTACCCTACAGGCCTGCCAACGCCGTTGTAACTTTAGAGATCTCCGAAGATTCGCTTTTACATCTGTGAGATTCTACCATGAATGGAAATAATAATTTTCATTAACTGATGCACTGACTACATTCTGTAAGTGTACTTCCTTACACAATCCGCAGTGATATAAATACTAAATCCTAATTGCATATGTAAAATGAGTCTATCTAATGTGTTAAATGAGATGCACCAGTACATCATGGGTAGCATACAATATTAGTTATTACTGGATCTTTACAATTCTATTGGAAAAGAAACACGAGACCTGATGCCCAAAAAGATAAAATGTCTTTTTCAGGCATATAAATAATTAAAAAATATCCCACTGGTTTATGAAGAAATGGGTGTTCTTTTAGTAAATATTCATATGCACCAAGCCGATTCTTTTATAACTATATTCTTAAGATCATAGAAAACATGGCAGCTCTTCCAATAGCTAGAAGAATGCGTGGTTACCCTGGCAACAGCATCTTAGTTCCTGCTTCCCGTACCACCTGGTGATTTCAAGTGTAACAGCTGTGCAGCATCTACATTTCCATTGAGGAAATAAAATGTACTCATGCATCATCTCATGGAGCATTTCAGAAGAAACGAGCTTGCAAATTTGGGTAAGGAGAGAAAGAAACAGCACTGCATGCTAGCAGAGCCAGTGAGGTTTAAAAGCCCTAACTGCAGTTTTGGAAGCATGCCTGAAGCAGCCATGGCACCACATTAGGGCCATCAGGTCTTGAGGCAAATTTTCCATCAGAACTCTAACATTCACAGGGGCTCAGTAGCCCAAGAATGTTTTCTTATCCCTTACTAAAAATGTGGAATTGGCACTCTCCATCCTAACAGACATTTAACCAAAATGGTTGTATACTCGTCACTGTGAGAGGTAGAGGAATCTGAAAAACAAACTAACAAAAAACAACAACAGCGCCCTCAGTTTCATACTTGTTTCTCAGTGCTTCTAATTTTACCCAAAGTATTGGGACCTTCCTGAGATCTAGATATTTAAAAAGCCAAATCCTATGGTAATTTCCAATAAAATTAGTTTTATGAGAGCTTCTGAATTAGGTAGTTGATGTAGGAAGGAAAGAATAACATTGGTAGGCTGTGGAGGTACAGGGGGTTAGGGAATAATTTCTTGTCCTCTAAAAAAGAAATACTAGGAACAAAGAATTTAAGATATACATTTAATTTTTTCTTTCCCTTTTCCCCTCATTATTATGATTCTATACATATATTATAGAAAATTTGAAAATAGAAAGAAGTATATAGAAGCAAGAAAAAAAAATCACTGAAGATCCTAACTTGTTAATATATTTAAAGTTTCATTTGTTCTTGTTGATGCATTTTTCACTTTTGTGCTACATTTTCCAAACTGCTCCAGTTATTCATCCATGCTACAGTTAATTTTCTGTGTTGTCAGTTATGATCATTATTGCTTCAAAGGAATATTTTAATTCTGAGATGGCATTTTGAGTTTGCTTGTATTTTTTCTTATTCTAGTGGCTTCATACTCCTCCTTTCATCTTACACTGGTAGTCTATCTATTCTTGAATTTCCTTCCTCTTTTTTTCATAGAGATAATGTCTTAATACACCTCTGTTTAGGATACCAAAAAGGACATCCACATTTTCTTTGGGACTATAGAATCTGTTCAAAGGCATCAGGTTGCTTTTGTCCTGACTCACCCTTGGACAGGGGGTGATCTATCCAGTCCGATATAAATAGGGTGCGCAGAGGGTCCCTAGCACTGTTCATTTGAATTCTGACAATTTTCCCTCTCTGAACTAAACACTGAAGGCTTCTTATGTGACTGCCTCAGTCCAGTTTTTAGGACTTAGGATTCCTTCATGCAGTCATTCCATAAATACCCAAATTCTTACTGTGTGTAGACACTGTTGTAGGTGCTGGGATAGGGCAGAGAACAAAACAAGCTTATAGAAAACTAGAGGCCCAGTGCATGAATCCGTGCACCAGTAGGGTTCCTTGGCCTGCCTGCGGGATCGGGCAGAAACTGGCTCTCCGACATCCCCAGAGGGGTCCCGGATTGCGAGAGGATGCAGACCAGGCCAAGGGACCCCACCAGTGCATAATTGAGGCAGGGAAGGGATGTGGGAGGTTGGACAGCTGGGGAGGGACTGTGGGAAGACTCCAGGGCATGTCTGGCCCTTCTCGCTCAGTACTGATCGGCCGGACCCCAGCAGCAAGCTAACCCCAGAGCGTCTGCCCCCTGTTGGTCAGTACGCATCATAGCGACTGGTTGACCAATTGACTGTCTGCCCCCTGGTGGTCAGTGCACATCATAGTGAGCGGTTGAGCAGCCTTAGCATATCATTAGCATATTACGTTTTGATTGGTTGAATGGCCAACCAGACGACTGGACACTTAGCATATTAGGCTTTTATTATATAGGATGGGATAAGTAAATCTGTAATTGTATAATGTAGATTAAAATATTAAGCTTCTGGTAAGGGAGATTGAGGGCTAGGGAGGCAGTTACTTTACTCTGCTGCCAGGGAAAGATGCACAGACTGTAAGGCAGCATTTGAGCTGAACTGAGGGAATGAGTTCTCTGGTTACCTGGAAGAAGAGCATTCCCAGAAGGGGAATCAAAGAAGGCCTTCTAAGCCTTTCGAAAGCTTTGACTTTCATTCTGAGTGGGATGGAATGTCATTCTAGGGTTCTGAGCAGAACGAAGTCCCAGAAGCTAAGTGAATCAAGGGTTTTAAGAAAGAGGGAGTGATCAAGTGTTGCTGACAGGGTGAGTGAGAGGAGAGCTGAGAACTGACTGGATGTAGCAACCTGGAGGTCATTGGTGCCTTTGACAGTAATTTTTTCAATAAAGTCGTGAGGGTGAAAGCTGTTTGGAATGGATTCCAGAAGGACTGAGAGGAGCTGAACAGGAGGCAAACTGAAGGCTACTCTTTAGAGGAGTTTTACTCTTAAAAGGAAGAGAAACGGGGTGATAGCTGGAAGAGGGTATGGGACCAAGAAAATTAAACTTTTTTTTTTTTTAAATGGAAGATATTATTATAGCACTTTAGTTTGCTGGAAATGATCCAGTAGAGAATAACAACTCAGTAATGCAAGAGCAAGTGGACAGTTGCTGGAACAATATTGTGGAGTAGGTGAGAGGGGATGAGCTCCCGGGTGCAAGTGGCAGGAGTAGGAATGCTTAGTTGTGGCTACAGGAGGGAGGCTGGGATGTGGGCACAGAGGGTCCTACATGGGTGAGAGCATGGACATTCACTCAGTGTGGCTCAGCTGGACTCTCAACAGCAGTGAGTACCTTTGACAGACTAAGGTGCATCTCCCATTCTTTGTTGCATGTGCACCAGTGCACCCCACGAGAGGCCAGCCCTCTGCCTCTCCCCACAGAGGCACCTACGTACCGGTGCAATTCCCAGGCCGCCTTGTCCTCCCTGCTTCATGTTGGTAAAGCACGTACTACATTAATATCCATTTTGCAGTTAAACGAAAACAAAAACTTGGGTTCAGACTGGTTTAGCCACTAATAAAAGGTCACATATCGATAAATGACAGAGCAGGGAATTGAACTCAGACATTTTCACTGTTTCTGGGTTCTTTCACATTGTTATCAGATTGGACCCAGGAAACAGGAAAGGACTTTTTTTTTTACTTCCAAAGACTTGGAGATGCGATGCTCTTCTCCTGCCCTCCTCTACATGGGAGGCCACCACAGGGACGACTGTGTGGATGCACAGGCTGTTCAGGCACACAGAGGTGCCTTCACCGGGCGGAGGGGATCTCCAGGTGCCTGTAGCTTACAGATTCCTCGGACCCCCTCACTGAGTGGAGCCTTAAAGCTTGCTCCTTCCACCACAGCCTCTGTGAGACTGCTCTTGAGCTGCACCTTCCCGCCTGCTCGTCTCCTGACCATGACCTTTCGGTTAACACTTCATTCTTTCCTTTTGCTAAATCTTTAGATCTGGGGAGAAGCAGGGTTTGGCACTGATTCAATTGCCCCTCACCAGAGAACAATAGAATTTTGAACTTGGAAGGAACCATTCCAAGGTCTTTGGTTTAATCCTCTCCATATGCACCTCGCTTTCTTCACCTGACATTCCAGGAACCACTCAGCATCTACTTCTAGAACTTTCTACCCTCAATTTAGGGAAACATATACACACATATATGTATGTGTGCATGCATGTATGCATGTGCTTTGTTCCCTTTTGGAAGAAGCTCTAAGAAAAGAGATTGAGGGTTTAACCTGAAAACGCTCTCTGCTATTCCAAGGACTGTCACTGCTATCATTAGGGGGGCCACTGGAGGTAGGGCTGTAACAGGGCTCTGGAGTTCCCCATTTTGATGCATTTTCCTAAAAAATCTGTTATTTTGTAGTAAATGAACTGTACATTCTAAGTGGCAGGTGTTTTCTCTTACTTCACAAAAATAATGTGTATTCCATCTCCCTAAACTATTGTGTTATGTCATGGCTGATCAGTTCAAACTCCTCATTATAATGAGGTGTTATTGAAAAAGTTCAGAGGTATTGATGAATGAAAAGGGTGCTTTAAGTATGAAAATAGCACACACGTAACCAAGGAGTATATGCAGATGACAAACATGCCTTCAGTTTAAAGTTTAGGTTAAAAAGTATTTAGAGAAAATAATATAGTTTGCATATATTCATATGCATATCTATAAATAAAGTTACATATATAAATGAAATATTTTTAGAACCATACATTTGTGCTCCTATGGCTTAGAAGCATACTCTCTAGAAAGCATCTTAGAATGGAAGAAAGATGTTTCATTCTGCCCCCTCACAGAAAGTCTTGCAGGGGTTCTTGCTTTGATTCGCTACCCTTTGCAAAATCTCCCTGAAGGTCCCCCTTCCCTTGTAGACAAGCTCAAGCGTGGGTATGAGCAGAACCAGTCATTCTGAAGAGATAAAGATGATGGCTTTACTAACACTTCCATATATGTTGATCATGTGGGGGTGGAGATAGACCATTGGGCAAAAGCTAGAATTAGTCATATGAATTATGTACTTGTTTGGACACTGGGCCCCTCCTGCCCCAATCAGTGCCAGCAAACCCTGCAGACAGCTTTAACACCACCACTCTGTTTCTGTCCCACTCGTATAAAATTCCATGCCAAGGTACAAACCACAATCCTCCCTTTCTTGGTTTTTCATGCAAAAACTATTTTAGAATAAATTGAAATGTCAAACCCTCAAGAACTTTGAACAGAAGAGACTTCAACTCTCTCAGTTCACAACATGGCTAAAAAAAAAAAAAAATTCTGAGGAAAGCACTAAAATTTTCACTGAATTTAAATTCCAGAGAGAGACAAAACTGCTATGTTGGAGGACCCGGATAAAAGAGGAAACATTGAGGAGAGCATAGCTATCAACGGCAACACTTTCATGCCGAGGAGAGGCCCAGAGGCCCCGTCTGTGAATAACATTGCAATGGCTGCTTTATGCAGCATGTCAATAAACACGGTCTCCACATCATTTAAAATATTCAACATTGACCTAAACAGACATAGGCAGAAAATTCCAGTCCAAGCATACATTTATGAATACATACATAGAACACATTGAAGGGAGAACTTGGTGCTTTCCCTCCCGCCCCCCAAA